AATGCAACTTCAACCAAGGGGCATGGCCGCTTGGAGCACCCGTTGGGGCATCCTGTGAGAAACCATGCACCTCACAGGTTTCCTGAATCCCTATAAGGGTCCAAGGACCCAAATGTTTTAGGACCCAAATACCAGTAATATTATAGTACTTGGGCCCTAAAACCCTATTATTTGAGTCCTCGGACCCTTAGGGAATACAGGGTATGAAGGGAGATATCCGTTATGGGGTTTGGATGTGTCGAGTTCTAGGGTGAGGCTCAGGGCGAAGGGTTGATGACTCACTGTAGGGTTTGGGGTTTTAGACATCTTTGGAAGTGATAAAGGTATGCTGGGCGCTCGTGGGAAATAGAAACGTGTACGAGTTTGCTTTTTTTGCGTTAGTAAAGCCTAGCCTCATCCAGTGCTGAGGGTTAAGGGACTGACAAGACATACACATGGATCATTTAGTAGCTTGCTCGACTAGTAGAACCCCTTTGAGATGTGTAGGTCCTGTGGGAACAGCAGACCAGAAACCATCAAAAGTGCGGTCAAGGTTTGGGGTTTCGGGCAGCCGCTACATCCCCAAAACAGGATATACCTAAGGACTGAGGTTTTGCAACAACCCAGATGGAATATCCCTAAGCCTCACACCTGAAATCTCCCTCTACCCTGAGACACTTGAGGTTCTCAAAGGTTCATTTGTCTTGAGGCCCTAAGCATGAAATGATCTTCTTGCTGCATCGCACCTCCAGAGGGGGAGCGCGACCCAGAAAGTCCTCACGGCGCTCCAAAAGCGCAGTGGCAGAAATGAAGAAGAAGGCTTCAGGATTGAGGGCTTTGCATTTCTGCTTTTGTGGGTGTTTCGGCTTGGCTTAGATGGCAAAAATCCTCCTTCGATAGATGGAATCTGGATTTGGAGCGCTTAGGTAGACAGAGAAAGTCCAGAGTTCATGAGGAGTACGCTCCGAATTTCCCACAAAATGCTCATCGATTTACTCTAGGACGACCTATTCTCTATGCACCTTGTATGCTTGCCGCACAGATTCACCAGGGGCTTGCTCCCTAAACCCTAAACCCTAAAATGCAGCATTTCATAGGTCAGGGAAGCTAGGGGCTTAGATCTCAGGCTTTCGGAAAAACTGGACAAGGGCTGTGCTTCAAAAAACCCAGGGTTAAGGGTTTGGAGTGGGTTTGGGGTTTAGGGTGGTCTTGAAACGAAGAACAAGAATGAACCCAAGGAAGCTGACAGAGTACAGTCTAGCAATAGCCGTGTCAAAGTGCACCTGCTTGACCCCATCAGACGTCCTGGCAGGCATTGCGAACATCCTGACCCGCTTCCTGGGCCGATTGGATGACGCCGCTAGAAAATCCATCAGGGACAATGAACAACTTACTGCTATTACTAGCATTACTATTACAACTACTATTAGTTTTATTGCTCTTACAAAAAGTCTTTACTTTGAGTCCTGCTATTACCCGTATTACTATTCATTACTAGTAGTAATTAGTACTAGTACTACTTATATGGCTAGTATTACTCTGAAGACTTCTGTAGCTAAAGCCTAATTCTTTCCAATTCCACCACAGCTTCCCGGCAGACTGCCACAGCATCACACTGCGGATCGATGATTCCTATGGTATGGCGTCCAGGGTGAGCGCAAGCCAGGTAATGCGTCATCAACAGGTTGCAGCCCAGACGATTCAACAGAAAGTTGTCCAGGAATTTGTTGGAAAACCGGTCAAAATCATCACCCCCGCGCAAGGCGCGGAGCTTCTGCATGGCCTGGGACATCAACTCCACCATGTTGTCTTGACGTTTCCTTAGTCTTGGATACTACGGAATGAGGGAACAGGAAGCATCGGGACTTTTGCATGGGATTCTATAGGGACAGCATAAAGAATATTCCAATACCTACTTACTACCTTGAACCCTAAACATCGTACTGCTTATTTCTTTCTTCTCCATCCCTACCAACCACCCCCAGCCCTAAACCGTAATCTTCCCCAAAGTAACACTGTAGTTGGCATTTTCTCTGCCATTCCCCAATACCTGACTCCCAAGGGTATGTACAATAATAGACTGTTGGGCCATTTGGGGTGGTTCTGGGCCATGGTTTTACCTACTGTTGGGGTCAAGGTACTACTAAGCCCTAAACCCCTAAACCCTAAATCCTGAACCCTAAACCCTAAGCCCCAAATCCTAGACCGTAAACCCTGAATACATTTGGGTGGTTGTCAGAATTATGGTCCCTTTTTGGATCCCTATTATACTATGGCACCTAATATTTAGGGTACCCCAAAAGGGACCATAGTTCTGACAAACACCCATTAGCACCTTACCTGCTAATCGCCAGCCAGTAGTCAAGATCTTTTGCAGAGCTCCCTGGAACTTGACAGGCTCGCTGGGATCGGCTTTGCCTTTGGTGCTTGAAACTCTGGGAATGGCACTCAAAAATTGGTTTTGTGGAGGGTTGAGAGTTAGGGTTTTTGGTGGTTTTGGGGGTTTTGGGGGTTTTGGGTTACGGGTTTTAGGGGTTAGGGTTTTAAGATTTTAGGCTTTAGGGGTGTGGGGTTTAGGGTTTAGGGGTGTTGGGATCCCCTCTACAACCAAAAAGGAAGATGAAGAAACCCTTACAATGAACTGGCTGCGCATGTAGGAGAACGAAGCCATATGCTTCAGATGCGCGTCGACCAGTTCCGGGATCTCTTTGTATTCAGGTACCTGCTCGATCCAGCGGATCCTCTCCGCAAATCGAACCTGCAGCTGATATGAGGGCCTTTTCAGAGTGGGGGCGCCCCTCGGGGACCCTACTACTGCGTACTGAGGATTCAGAGGTGATTGGGGACATCTTAGGGATTGTGTAGGTTTTGTGGCAAGAAATAGCTATCTGAAGCCCCCATGCAGGTCATTTGGTGCGCGTTTGAAAGTTGCATAAGCTCGTAGACTTACCCAACCCCTTCCCAGGGACAGGTATCTCTTCATGGAGAAAGGCCGCAAGCTCTCCCGGACGGGCGAACTCGTGCAGGCACCGATGCAGACTCACTGGCCGGGGCTTCATCGAGGCGAACCTCTGCACCTCGCTTGGACATCTTTTGAAAAGGGGATATAGGGATAATGGAAAATCAAATGGAAACTACTATAGTATATTGGGATTATTATGGTGTATATATAGGGATTATATAGGGGGGATATAGGGATAATGGAAAAGAAAATGGAAACTACTAAAATGGAGAATCAAATGGAAAAGAAAATGGAAAATGAAATGGGAAACTGGGATTATATAGGGGTTATATTGGGGCTATATATTGGGATATAGGGATAATGGAAAAGAAAATGGAAACTACTAAAATGGAGAATCAAATGGAAAAGAGAATGGAAAATGAAATGGACACTGGGATTATATAGGGGTTATATTGGGGATATAGGGATAATGGAAAAGAAAATGGAAACCACTATACTATATTGGGATTATATAGGGGCCTATTTTTTTGGAAAGGGTTTATAGGGGATGTATTGGGATAATGTCAAAAAAATGGAAGCTATCATTTAGGGTTTAGGGTTTAGGGATTAGATTTTGTTCTGTGGGGTGGTTTTCCCTTTTTGGAAAGGGGTTATAGGGGATATATTGGGATATTGGAAAAGAAAATGGAAACTACTATAGTATATTGGGGTTATAGAGGGATAATGGGAAAAGAAAATGGAAACTACTATTCAGGGTTGAGGGTTTAGTGTTTATAGTCCCCCTTAAGTAGATAGAATATGGGGTATATGGGGACCTTAGTATAATATACCCAAAGCCATATTCCATCTACTTAAGGGGGGCTACATCCTGTGATTGCCAGATTGAACCTCGCTGGTGCAGCAGCGCACGGACTTCGGGAGCTTGCATCGTGGAAGCCTTCGTAGCATGAGGGGGACTTGTCCCAGGCGTCCACCCTGGGACTCTGCCCTGCATCTGCACTAATGATTCTACTACCCACAGACATAGTAATTGGACAGAATAGCTATTACTATTACTATTGCTAGTACTATTACTATTACTATTACTATTGTGATAGGGTAGCAATGTCAGTACTGGCAGATTTTGATCCTACAGAAAACCATGCTCTCTATCTGTTTTGCACTCCTTGGACATGAAAATCTGGTGCAGACCCTCGCCCCCTTGAGCCAAAGGCTCTGACATTCTTGTACCTTGGCAGTCGCAGCTCATGTAACTCCCATGACATTGAATTGAGTTTTGGTGGAAAAGTATGGGAAATCCTCTAATCAGCACAGGGTTTTCGCGTGGAGTCTAACATAGCTTCACAATCTGTTGGGTACTGCCCCCCCTCAGTAACAGTTGGATAATAAGTATAATATGGTTATATATAGCCCTTAATAGGACCCCCAATATAGACTGTTACTGGGTGGGGGCAGTACCCAAACAATCTGCATGAAGCAATGGCTCGGCAATTCTCAGGCTGCTATTGAACCTATTGACAGCCTCCATGTCTCCTAGGCCTGCCGAAGCAAGGGCCTGGGAGGAGATTTGACCCCTAAACCCTAAACCTTGGGTACTGCCCTCACCCAGTAACAGTCTATATTCGGGGTCCTATTAAGGGCTATATATAACCATATTATGAGTAATATCCAACTGTTACTGAGGGGGGGCAGTATCCCACCTATACACTAAACTTGGCAACTACATCGGAAGGGCGAAGAGAGTTTCCCATGGCCCAGGAGACTACAAACCCTTCATACCCATGAACATGACACTTCCAAAGATGATCCAGTTCTGGGAGTCCCAATCAGGACGGTGCTAATCCTTTAGGGCATCTAAGAGTGAGCCCTGTTTTAGGGGAAGTCCATTACCCTAAACCCTAGAGCCTAAATCCCAAAGCCTAAACCTGCACCCTAAAGGCTAAACCCAAAGCCTAAACCCTAAAGCCTAAGCCCTAAAGCCAAAACCCTAAAGCCAAAACCCTCAAGCCTAAACCCTAAAACCCTAAACCCTAATCCCAGCAGGAGCTCAGTTGCGCACATCCGTGTCCTTCAGGTCGGTGGGCGCCAGCCTCTAGCCATGTTTGGGGGCTTAATAATCATGGCTCCTTTGACTCCCCCTCCTAGACCCTCACCCCCCCTTCTCAGCGAGCTTCAGAGCTTAGCCAGTGCTTAGCGAGTGCTTAGCAAGCAAAAGACTCTCACCAACCACTCGCGAACTTGCAAAGCTCGCTAAGCACTCGCTAAGCTCTGAAGCTTGCTGAGAAGGGAGAGAGGGGTCTAGGGGGGCGGTTAAAGAAGCATTATTAGGATTTAGGTGTTTGTTTTTGCCGCTCCTTTTTACGTGTGCGCGGCTTAAGGAGCCCCCTAGGGGCTCTATAAGCAAAAAATGGACGAACTCAGACTGCCGTACGGTAGGGTCCCTTCTGTGGCCCCTTACTTGGACGGTTAGGGGGCTTGGTAAGTGTACTTAGTGTACTTATAACCACTCTAAGCTGTATAGCAGCCCATTTCTAACCTCGTTACTAAGTCCCACTGACCCTCAAGTAAGAACACAAACTCAAGCTTGCCTTAAGGGCCAAGCAAGCACCAACCTACAGTAGATTCAGAGTAGCTCATCCGATTACCCAGACATGCACAAGTTGGAAAAAGAGCAGGATCTGCACTGGAAACTTCCTGAACCCTCCCCCTCTGGCTATGATCACTGATTGCTTGTGCGTGCGTGCTCGAATTCCTGATAAGGGGGCGTTGCGAGTTCTAAGAATCATGGGAGCGTGCGCACTACAAGCTACATGGGAGATCGCAATGATAGGCCTTCAGGGACCCAAAAGAACTATACGGATTATGGAAGGTTTATGGGGGTTCCAACTACAAATCCATAGGGGATACATTTGAGAGACTCTCACATTAGGCATTTGGGTTGCGGGTTTTGCCCCTACTTGGCGAAATGACCGTGCGGTGTGCGAGAGAAAGGGCATTTTCATCATCACCACCCTCATCATCCAACGGAAGCACCTAGAGGCTTCCAAGTTGATCTTGGAGATTACAGATGCAATACTGTTGATGGATGAAATCTTGCACCTCTTAGGGCCCCTAAACTACTGTAATTCCTAGGATCTTAGGGACTTAAGGTGGTGCAAGATTTCCTCCATCCACAGTAGATAGCTGACGTAAACAAACGCATTGGCCTCCGACTAGGCAGAACAATTCAGCAAAAGGCAAACAACATGCTGGTGGTTAGCAGGGACTAAGGGCGTATGTTATCTAGGGACTATATAGGGATTGTATTCTCTTCTTATTAGTCTCTACTAACAACCAGTAAGACTAGATGCTAACAAGTGACAGCAGGTAAGCGATGGTGTCCGCAACCAGGTTGCGGCTGAGCGAGATCAGTCTTTGCGCCTGACGTCACAAACATCTGGGACATCTCAAAATTACCCTGCCTCGGCCCCAGGAGGTACGATCCCCATAGGAAAGGCGCAGCAAAGGGACCAAAGATTTCAAGCAAGCCACCAGGCACCAGGAAAGGTTTGGGATGGGGGGAATAGAGACTGGGGGATGATTGCGGATTTGAAGCCCAATCAATCGTAGCAAGAAGCTTTTTTGGGATGCAGGGAGGTTAGAATCCAAACCTACATAAAATGTGGTGGCGAGCGAAGGGATCGCAGGGAGATCAAAAACGGCTCTTTTCGCTCAACCTCTCTGAGCAACAAAAGACATGGATATCGGATGTGCGTGGCACAAGATTCAACCTGTACTAATACGACTGTCAGCTGCAACCATGCGTTGAGTGGTCAAAAGGCATCATCCGCATCATGAGCATGAGAAGCCAGCCATGTTGACTATGTGAACATGGAGGGTTGAAAACAAAAGTTGACTACCGTGGACACAGACTATCTCAAAAGAGAACATCAGAATGATGAAACGCAGACGACACCGATAACACTGATCATCGTAGCAAATTGTAGCAGTAATAGCCATATGTTGGCAACAGTCATACTCGCCATTCTCAGTAGCAAATTGTAGCACTAATAGCCATATGTTGGCAACAGTCATACTTGCCATTCTGAGAACTAACGAAATACAAACGGCTGCAACTGCAAATGCTGACCGAATATTTGTGTCCACACGCTTCAAGGCGTTTGTCCGTGGCTTGTGCAAGCTGTGATATCACCCTGCACCAGACTTCCTACACGGTGCTGCGCATTCCCCGCAAAGCTTTACATGACCCTAAACCCTAATCCCTGTAAAGCCCACTACAAGCTCCACATTCCTTGATGCTGCCCTGCTAGCCACCAAAAAGGAAAGCACCTAATGAGGATCACTCAAAAAGTCAGACACGTAAGGCAAACGCAAGTTCAGCGCAGCTCCGATCTTTTTCCAGGACCTTTGGGTCAGAGGGTGTGGGGTTCAGAGCTCAGGATTTGGGTTTGGAACTTAGGGTTGAGTGCCTAGGTTTTAGGGTGCTTTCTGAAAGGTGTCATGGCGCGTGTACATGTGGGGCAGCCTTAGCCATTTTAGGGCCGTGGGCTTCAGGGTTTAGAGTTCGGGGCTTTGGCTGTAGGGCTTATAGCCCTGAGGCTCAAGATTTGGGGAGCACCGCCTCTGCAACAGACAAAGCAGGTTGCCCCTCCAAAAGATTGTGCAGTCCTTCGCTTCTGGAACCTTTGCCAACAGGTTAGCGCCAGTTGTTTTCTCGCGCGTGAAAGGCTTGATGGTGTGGCGTTTGGTTGGGGTTTGATTAGGTGAGGCTTCAGTTTTCTTCTAGTCTTGTGGCTGTGGCATTGTTATATTGCACCATTATCTGATTTCTGCTCACTTGTACTACAGCTGTTCCTTCCTGCGACATCTTCATCAACGTCATGTTTCTAGCGTGTCTGCCTGTGATTGGTAGGCATTGCGGGAAGCTTGCAACCCTCCAGAGTAAACATGGAATGAATACTTTCCAGTTTCAGACAAAAAAGAATTCTCAGAAGTATGGATTCTGATTTGGGGTGCGCTACAGTGAGGATCCCAAGTTGTCGGGATAGCGGAACCCTATCATTTCGAATAATGTGTACAGGGTCTCAAGCTCCAACAAAACAGCCCGCCTCTTGCAATTGCCACTGCAGATGGTCATACACCTGGCAAGCACCTAGTTATCCCCATGGATAACCTACTTGCTTAGTCCCCCTGACCCTAAATCCTGAATCCTAAACCCTAAATAATAGAATAGTTTCTACATTCTTGTACACTATTACTTGTCAGTATAGTCGGACTAGCGGCTTGTCGTAGTCATGGGTGCCCCCAAAGTTTCCCCACCAGGTGGGGATCAGACTCGATTGTGTGATTTTATCATGAATTCTTTATCGTCGTTGTAGAAAATTAGGAAGCAGGAAGGTACTTGGGCTGTAAATACCTCCTGGAAAGCCCAAGATCTAGTCTGTCTGTCATACTACCAGCGTTTTCATGCATGCTCTACATAATCCTGACGAGGAACCCTGCAATCCACTGAAAGCCCTGATCAGAATGTGGCTACTTTCAGCAAGCTCTGCATCATGTGGGTGCTTGGACACGTTTCTTGCAAGCAATGTCAGGCACACGTCAGCCATGCTCTTGAGAAAGCTCTGCGGATTTCGCGCCTCCGTCAAGGGGATTTAGGGGTAAAGGGTTTAGGGCTTTTTCTAACCGCGGACTTATCCAGCACTGGCTGATGGCCAACGTTCAGCCAACAACATGTCCCAGGTTTTGGGTTTTGGGTTTTAGGGCTTAGGATTAAGGGATAATTTCAGGTTTAGGGATTTAGGGCTCAAATTCCAGGGCTGATAACATGCTCTATCAAGCTGGATAATTCAACTTTAGGGTTTAGGGTTTCTGTTGCTAAGTCATGACAATCATTCTCGACGGTCATGACTACTCTTTTGGGTGGGTTGCATTTGCCAAAATCTCCTAAAAACCAGGGCCCTAAAGCCTAAATGGTCACTTCCAGAAAGTAAGGGGACCCCATTATAGACCTAAGAACCCCCAAAATGGTACCCCCAAGTTTGGGTCACCCTAAATCCTGAACCCTAAATAAACCCTATCTCTGAGTCCCTGGCAGGGAAAAGGTGTGGATGGCTAAGGACATCACGGCAGAGCCCGCACATACTGCGGACCTGCGCAGCATTTTCAGGGGGTGCTTCACCAAAGGGGATAGGGGTGAAGGGTTTAGGGTTATATGTCGGGTTCAGGGTTTGAGGTTTCGCAAGAGGGACATGTCGAAAATGAAGGGAGTACTAAATGGAAATCTTGTTGAGAAACCCTGGTCTACAAGAAGGACCAAGACAGTTGCAGATTCCAATCATCTTCAGTAATGCTTTCAGATTTTGGAAAGATTTACTGAATGGAGTTTTTGGAAAAAGCAAAAACCGATTCCAGGGGCGGGCAGGAAACAGTAGGCACAGGCAGTGAAAACGACAGTAGATCGAGACTTACTACTGCCTGCCCGCAGGCGGCCCGATCCGCAGGGTGTTCAGGTTCTGCAGAGATCCGAACAAACATGGCCACAACCCTCAACTTGCTCAGTCGAAGGTCTTGGTGGCTCGTTTTAGGGCAGATGGTGTGTAGCCATTTTTGGGTTTAGCGAAACTGGCGAAGGGATGTCCATGTCGCATCCTACGCGGGGCGTGACGAGGCTTGCTAGCACGGAAAGGCGGTTTCTTCGTGGAAACTGGGCGAGGGCAGCTTTCCAATATTCCCTGCTCAAATGGAACCCTTGCAGCCACTTCTTGTCATTCCTCCATACCCTTGGGACCCCTTAAATGGGCATCCTCTTCCAGAAATTTGCGCTTCCCACAAAAGCGTCCCCTCCTGAACTCTCAGCAAACATAGTATGGCTCTTACAAAACAGAGCCTGAGAATCAGCCCAAAACGTGAAAGCCTTTCCTGTCCTGGAAGCCTTGGACCCCAATCCCCAAAAAATGAACACCAAACCCTAAACCCGAAATCTGGACTCTAAACCCCCAACCCCAAAACCCTCACCCCCAAGTCCTAGACCCCAAAATGCAAACCTTTAGACCCTAAACCCACCCATCCTGCTTTGACCAATGCATTAGGTGGACCCCCCACCCTGGAATAGTGACTATAAGGGAATAATAGGGATTATAATAGGGTCCTCTTCTATTCCTATTATACCACCCTAAACCCTAAACCCTAGACCCTAAACCCTAAACCCTAAACAGGGTGGGGGGTCCTCCTAACCAATGTACCTCCTCTTCAGCCAACGAGCCGCTAGAAGCGTTGGCACGGAGCCAGCTTTTCAAAAGCTCGCACATACGGGTCCTGAAAATTTGACTACTATTCTACAGTTATTACTATTACAGTCACTGTTATATTGGTTAATTACTATTCCTATTAGTACTATTACTATTCTTGCTATTGTTATTCTTAAGGTTGTCGGGCGTTTATATGGTTTCTATTATTGTTATTTATATTACTACTAGTCTTGTTATTAGCACTATTAAGGTTTTCTGCCTTGGCTTCATGGATCAGGGCTTTGTTTGCTCTTTGGGGTCTAGGGTTTGGGGGCTTACACCGCAGGATCCATTTTCACAATTGTTGGGCTCCATTGGGTACCCTCCAAATGCGCGTGATGCTTCGGTGTTTGAAAAAGTCCCTTGACGCTACCACAAAAATGCGTTCCACAAAACCTAAACCCCACCTTCCCCAAGCAAACATGGAAGCCCATATCAGCCCCTTTTTAGTAGGACTGTAGTCTTTGTAGGGCCCACTTGCGCTTCCACGCTTGCAGTGTACACCCTAAACCCTAAACGTGCGGCAGGGAGTCCTGGGGTCGTTCTTGTAGGAACGTCTCCAGTTGGGACCGAAATCTCCCTGGGCAAGCAGCTTTTGATCCCTAAGCCCGTAAACCGCGCATACCTTGAACCCCTGAACAATGAACCCTAAATCGTGAATCCTCAACCTGTAAATCCCTAAGCCCTAAACCCTAGATATTAAACCCTAAACCCTAAGTCGTTGGCTCTTTGGGGCTGGCTTTGGATGGTTGAAGTTTAGCGCTCAGGGTTTGGGGGCTGGGTTTGAGGTTTAGGTTGAGGGTTTAGGGTTCCCAGCTCAGGGTCAGGGATTAGGGAGTATTGCTCCTCAATGGCGGCATGGATTTTGCGGATCCTGGCTTGAACAACACTAGAGCGTTATCACATGGCAGGTTTCAAAATGATGGTCCCTTTTTGGGTCCTCATTCGAACACGGCCTCTAATTATTCGGGTACGTAAACGGGGACTAGAATGTCGATCTGCAAGTAGGCTGTATAGGGCTATGCTTATGTCAACAAACTGACTTCTGAAACACCTCAACAGCCATAGTTTCTTTCGCCACAAAGGCACTCTTCTGCCCAGGCCTCCTTCCCAGATGTGCCCTTACGTGTATACAGCGTGCAATGGCGATCAGATAAGCGTTAAAGAAATGAAATCGCGATCCTTCATCAAGACCTGGGGTACGATAATCTGGGAGGTCATGACAACCGCTATAGTCACTGTGGTCCCAGTCAGGGTCCGCTCGCACGGTATACAACACGAGAGCCCTAGCAAGTGCTGCTGACAATCCGGTAAGCCATTGGCCAATGCTTTGAAGACCCGTGCGCGGCGTGAGCGCTGGTACTCATTGATGACGTCCAGAGCAGATACCAGGTGCTCCTTTTGGTCTAGAGGCAAACGTGTGGGATTCTTTTCGTTGCCGTGTTTACGTCCGATGTCACCTTTCTAAGACGCCCCAGAATCCCCCACAACATGGGGCCCGTGATGATTTGGCTGCAGGATTTGAGGCACGCTTAAACTTTAGGGTCCCCAAGGCTCTGCAGCTGGGCTTAGGGCTTCAAATTGTAAGCCTGAAGCCTGGGTTTGAAGCTGGAACGCCCCACATCCACCTGAGCTAAGTCTGTAGCGCGTAGGAATATCCCAATAGCCCCAAAGAAGTTGTCGACTGGTCCATTTTCCATTTAAACAACCTCAAACAGAGCGCGAAAGCAACAAGAACAACACAAAGAATAGATAGTAGTAACAATGATAAAGCGTAGACCATGGATCATAGCAGTAGCTGATGACAATCACGATCACAGCTCCCGATGACAAGAATGAAAACAACAACTATGGTTCAAACAAGCCTGATACCTGACCACTCATGATAATTGCAGAACCTTAAATCAAGCCTATCTGAGACGAGCTTTGTATAAACCACCATTCAGGGGTGAGACCGTTTGTAATTTGCTCAGGTTTTAGGGTTTAGGGCCCTTGGTTTTTACTATTATTACGGTTATTGCGCTTATTACTCTTATTACTCCTATTACCGTTATTTCTGTTATTACTATTGTTACTAGCATTTCTACTATGTAGCATTAATACTTCTATTTCTATGATTTCCATTATTACTAATAATGATTGGCGAACCTAAACCCTAAACCCTTCTCAGAGGTAGTCCTGCTCCCAGCGCTGGACGCCTCGCTCAGTCGAGGTCTGACTGCTGTTGAGCTCTCGCAAGGCCTAGGTGCCGGGGTTTTGGGTTTGGGGGTTTAGGATTTAGGTGTTTGGGGCTAAGGGGTTCAGGGCGTAGGAACTCAGGGTGTAGGGGGTTTAGGGTTTAGAGTGGGACACAGGTTGAGAACTGCCCCCGACCCAACAACAGCCCAGAATTGGGGCAATGCTAAGGGCTTTATATATACTGATTATACCTAATTAGCCGTTCCTGAGTGGTGAGCAGAATCCAAGATGTATGGTCTGGCTGCGAAAGCTTGGCTGACCGAGTGTGCAAAACTTTCTGGGTTGCTGCTAAGGAACTTAAATTAAGTTACCATAATGGGTAGATATGGTAGATAATAGCGTTTCCCCAATATAGTAACTTAATTTAAGTTCCTTAACAGCAACCCAGCTTTTGCGTACATCATGGCGCTGGGAAGGTTGAGGGCTACTTCTCACAAATCTTGTGAGCGGGCGACTCACTGTTGCGGTGAAAGTCTTCTGTCCTTGTTGAAGACATATCTTGAAAATCTATGGGTGCCGAGCATCTATACCTGGGGTACCCCCTTCTCACCCAGACCACGTGAGCTATAGTCTAAACTCCTAGAAATCCCCTTAATAAGCCCTATACTTGTCCCCTATATATTCCCCTTTAAGGAGTTCAGACTACAGCTCACGTGGTTTTCCTCACAAAGGTCTTAACCGCACACGTGCGCATTAACACAGCTGGAATTCCCCAAGGTCTCTTGCTGGGGCCATGGCTGGATCTTGCACATGCTTGTTAACAATGGCCTGCACATAACTCATGATTGCGAGGTTTAGGGTTCAGGGTTTAAGATCTAGGGTTTAGGGCACTTTCTGCTCCCGCTCATGTTGACTATCAGTATTGCAGCCCTTACTGCTACTATGCTGCTACTATTACTATTAATGACTAGCACTATCACTTCACAAATTCTGATTACCGTTACTATTACTATTACTATTGCTATGACTATTACTATTGCGTTACTGGCTATAGGCGAGCTGTGCTCGCTGTTCCAATGACGCAAGCCGCGGTCCTGCAATGAATCCTGCTGGCGTGTCTGTAATTGAGTTGTGCCGCACGCCACGACAGAAGCAAGCGACATGACACAGTCCGTGTCAAGTGAACCTTAGAAGGAAAGGGCAAGACGATCAGCCGTGTCCCCCTTTCGGTACTGTTGATACTAAAAACTCCGCATGGCCCCAGTGCGCTACATGATTCCCAGAATTCAGGATACTTAGGACCATGCAGGATTTTTAGTACCCACCGTCGAAATGAAGCAGAACCAAACTTCACCCAAAGCGAGAAAACGAAAATCAGATATTCGAAGCTCAGCTCAGGACGCTCTGGAAAATAATGATTGCACTATACAGGGTCTTGGGCCAAATTGAGGCAAAGCACACAGAAGGTCAATCCTCATGGCGCTAGACTGCTAGACCGGCTCTCGCGACACTGTTGGCCTGTCTTCAGACACTTTGGGGTGCGAACACACAGAAGCTTTTGGGGGTTTCCCAAAATCAGGGAACCATTTTGGGGTCCCTATAATCAGGATTACAGTATTCTGGGGTCTATATTGGGGTCCCCCTCTTTTGGGAAACTACCTTTGCAGCTGTCCTATCATCAGTATGCACGCGCACCCATGGTCACCCTGTACACGACGGAAGCCGAAGAGACTGGACGACCTTGGCCCCGCAGATGGCAACACGTTTGAGTTGCCCCCAAAAAATTCTTCGGCTATTCTTATATTGGGGTTATATCTACAATAATAGGTTATAATAGGGGTTTTTACTGGGGTTATATTGGTGTTATATAAGGATAATGGAAAATAAAATGGAAACTACTATATTACATAGGGTTCTGTTTGGGGGCGCGCAACTCAATCGCAGAAAGTCAGGTGCGTTTGCACTGTTCCTATGGACCCTGAGCTACGAGGTTTCTGTACATCTGTACAGCAGCTGCTTTGCGTAGCCGGCCTTTTTTACTTGTGAGGGCCAGTCAGTAGCCCCGTTGGCTAGCTCTCTGCCTCAGGCAAACCAAGCGATCAAACAACAGCAATTGGGTTTGCGGAACTGTGGTGCACCTACAGTCGGTACGGCTCTAACCGAACATGGCTACCCATTTGTCATGTGTCCATTTTATGCTTGCTACGGCTGTATGAAGACTGAAGCCTCAGATACAACCTGACTGCAGTCATGCACAATTTTTTCGTTAGGAAAGTCTACAGGAACTCCTTGTGGGCCTGAATCTTAAACTGGCGTGGGGATCCTTATGGGGTTCACGTAGGAGGAGTTAAAGGAAGTCTTGCGAAGTTCTTTCGAAATCAGGCTGCTTGCATGAAGTTTGCAGGGCCTTCTCCCATGAGAACTGATGCCAGCTCCCTTATAGGGTGTGCTTGGTGGAGAATCGTACAGATGTAGTCAAACAAGCAGACTGGAGCGAAATTTCGCAAGAGTGTGACGATTTTCATAAGGAAGCCTTCGTGTGAGCTATAATCTAAACTCCGAGTATCCCTTAGCCCCTATAACATTCCCCTCTATAATCCCGTACATAACCCAACGTTAAGGAGTTTAGACTATAACTTATGTTACGGGGCGAGCATTTTGCACTCTGGCCTTGGCTACCATGACGCGTACGGACCACATCATGGCGTAAGCAGCAACACTAGGGTTTAGGGCTTAGGGTCTAGGTGGGGTTGGTTGCCGAAATTAGAGGTACCTTCTTGGGTTCCCCATAAAAAGGATTAGGGTATTTTTGGGATTGCTACTCCTCCTCCAGCCCTCCCCCTCCCAACAAGTCTCCCATCACTGTTACCATGACTACCTGTACAATTATTACTTTTACTACTACCGTAGTACTGTAGCACGATATTACTCTAGTAGCATGGTACTATCTAGCTGTATTACTATGTTATCATATTGCTATGTTACTATCTTACTATTATCGCTATTATCGTTGCTAAATTACAAATACTAGTACCATCACTCCTCGGCCTACTGCTACTTCTTCTTCCTATTACCGTTGCTATTAACATTTCTGTTGCTGACTGATGGATTCAATCTACTGGGTTGGCCCCTAAAGCCCTTTGAAAAATATTAGTATATAGGGTCCCTTTAATATATTAAAACCATTAGGGAAAATATTAAATATGTCAGGGGCCTACCCAGTCTAAGGCCTGAGCCAGGCTCTGCCTCTCTGCGCAGGTCCCTCGAGGGTCCTGCAGGGCTGAGGCGACATTCAACAGAGGAGAAAAAGAATGGGAAATAGTTGTAGCAAGACTAATAGTAATAGTAAAACAGTGTAAGACTAATAGTAATAGTAAAATAGTAATATCATAACGTAGTAATGTAGTAATATAGTAATATGAGGAGAAGAAGAAGGGGGGGGAGGAGGGGCCTTAAGGGGTGCGTAGACCCTTTGAAGAAAAAAAACAGGAAGACAAATAGGAGCGAAAGCCCTCAAGAAGATGAAGAAGAGTAACAAAATGTGAGGTACTAGGAATGGCACAATAGAGGCTAGGGAAGCTAATGATAATTGGAATGCTAACGCGAACACGCCTGGGGTGACCAGCAGGAAGGAGGACAAAGCGCACGTAGGAGGAGGCGGAGCACAATTTCAATCTATAAGCATACACATGTTACCTACATTGAGCCCTCAAGTTGAAAATTTTACCTACATTGGGCTATCCTGATCCCTGGGGGTCAAATTTCAGGGCTTACGGAAGGGATCCATGGTTCTGAAAAAACCCACATCCCTAAAACCCCTTAACCTCAAGGGCTCTTCGGAGGGACCGTTAGAAGGGCCCCCAACCTCCCATCACCTTATAGAACCCTCATATAATGCATAAATGCCGGGTATATAACCACTTATCCTTCAGATACCCTACAGGGTCCCCATTAAGAGCCCCAGAAAACCCAGAGTGGTCCTCCCTGGCTCCAAAGGCTTCGGAAAGGTTTCAGACCTCGGCCATACAGTTCAACGGGTCGAGGTTTAGTGCTTAGGGTTGAGGATCCGGTTTTAGGGTTCAGGCTTCAGGGTCCAGGGTCCACGGTTTAGGGTTCAGGGTTCCGGGACGGAGGGTACTCCCATCAATAATCCCCTACATAATACCCCCCTTTGAGGAGTTTGACTACGGCTCAGGGGTAGAGGTTCAGGGCGAGCATGGGGTTGATGGTCTAGGTTTGGAGGCTTTGGTTTGAGAGTTTTGGGGCTGAGGGGTTTTGTAGCCGTAAGATGCCGTAAGATGCTGTAAGGACAGCTGTCCCCTCAGAGTCATGCAGCAGCACAAGTAGCCATACTGCAGTCGTGGTCGTGGTCTCAGGCGTTGTCGCCATCGTCGCAGTTGGTGTCGGCGCCGCTGGCGTCGTTGTCGTCATCGTCTTCGTCGCCGCAGCCGCCGCCGTCGTCATAGCAGCTGCAGCTGTAGCTGCAGCAGCAGCGGCGGCGGCAGCAGCAACAGCAGCGACAGCAGCGGCAGCAGCGGCAGCAGCGGCAGCCGTGGTAGTGGCAGTGGCAGTGGCCGTCCTGGCAATGGTACTAGCAGGCTACTACTACTGCTGCTGCTACTACTACTACTCCTCCTCCTCCCCAAGCCCTACCTCTGCTACTTGTTTAATTTTCTAACAACGTCACAGTCCTTCTGACTCCATGACTGCGTAAAGCCTTCTGCCATTGACGCGCTTGTAATTCTTACGGCACAAGACCTCAGTAGAAGGAAACCCCTTCTCAAGGCTAACATGCAGACCTTTTATCATGCTGTATCCTCAACAGTATCCTCAAAACTGGGACGCCCTGACTGCTTCGTGGAGTCTGCATTCATGGTCGCATCCTTCTCGGCATCGGGGTCCTGGCTTGGGTCATACCTCGGGTAACCGTGTGAGACGTGACGATGTACCGGATGGTTTATGGTTGAGGGTTATGTCTACTGTTTCCCTGATGTCTTCCATAGTTGGGGCTGCAGCAACTACAGTCATTAAAACGGGCACTTGGAAATTGCGTACCTCCTCTGCAACTTGCACACCGGTTAAATTACAAGGGAATCACAAGTTCGGAGGTCTTCATACTAGAACTGCTGTAAAAATTTCTTCCGCACTCGCAGTTCTGGCGTCCAATGTGGTTGCGAAATGTAGCTCTCCTGACTTGCAAACAACACCAGCCAAGGTGAAACCGATGGTTTCACTGTTCTGCTGCTGCGGCTTCCACACCTGCTAATGCTACAACTACCACCACCATCTAATTTAAGGGTGACAATTATGATCTATCGTCTGAACTCCTAGTATCCCCCTGAATATGCCCTATAGTAGTCCCCTACATAATCCCTATATAACACCCTTCAAGGAGTTTGGATTATGGCTCATATGATCCTAATTCTGGAAACAGCCCTGCTCCAAACCCTGAGCCTCAAAACTGAGGCTACCCTGAGGGCCCAATACCCCTTAAGTAAGGAAGAGAACATACCTTAAATACTATTAGGATCCCTTATGTGATTTAAGGTATATGCCTTACTTAAGGGGTATTGGGCTCCGTGGGTATGACTTTCTCAGAATAAGCCCTATAGAATCCCCAACTGGGAGCTTACACTGCCATTTCATCCCTGGGGCCCCTGAGGGCCCTAAACCCTACATCCTAAACCCTGAGCCCTAAACCCTCCAGCCCGTGTAAACTTACAATTACTTAGGGTCCCCAAACTTCCTTAGTTGTATAATTGTAAACTCAGAATGACCCCCCCCCCAACAGTAAGCCAACCCTGTTTTGGGGAAACTCCCAGCTCTCCACACTCTGAGCGCAGTGCTCCAGGACATTCAGAGGCTGTAAGGCGAGTGGCAAAGTCTGTGCCTTGCTCTTCCACAGCTCCTGCCATGCATTTAGGGTTTAGGGTTTAGGGTTTAGGGTTTAGGGTGGGCTTTGGGTTTAGGGATGTATAGGGTCCCTGTAACTGGGTTATAAAGGGGATATTTAGGCGATATCTCGCGTTTAGGAATAATGCCCCAAAATGGAAAGCCAACTCGAAAGGAAAGGAGAAAATGAAATTCAAATCCCTTTATCTCTTTCAAGGCTTAAGGAACTTGCATTAAGCTATCATACTAAGGAAACCATAAGATGTGCTATGTACCCATACTACAGTAAATTATTTTCACTGGCTAACGGCCTTTGGCGTGTCTAGGGGTTGAGGGCTTGGGGCTTTCTAGGGGTGCTGCTTCTACGTAGCCTGGGGGTGCTCAAGATAGGCCAAGAAATTCCATGAAGGCCCACAATCCTAAGATAAGGAGAATACTTGGGGTTCCTCGTAAGGACTCCACAGCGGTTACTTAGAGAAATACAATTATAGCGCCTGCGAAGGGAATACATCGGAGGTGGAGGGAAGCAGGTATTGCCTAGCAATGCTCCCTTCAAAGTGTTTAACCCTCCTGAACCTTGAACCCTAGGCCCTGAGTTCAGGGTAGGATTTCCAAAGCCTTAGCGAAGGGATCCTGGAATCCTTCTGGGTTGCTGCTAAGAAACTGAAATTAAATTACTATAATCAGGAAGCCGTCTTACTTACGAGATACCCACCCATGTATCATGGTACCTTAATCTAAGTTAAGCTCCGCAGCAGCAACCCACTTGTAGTCCCTGGTACCTCTCCAAAAACTCTCGCGAGGTAAACGCACCATCAGCAGTAAGATGATGCCAGAAGATAAATGCCTAAACCCTTAGCCTTAACCCTATTTGGGGATTTGGGTCCAGGTTTATGGTTTGGGGTAGATTAGTTCTTGCAGTGGTGGTACGTACAGGTCATTGCCATGGTGGTGCTAGAAATTGTGGCAAGGGATCAGGAGCACTTGCCTTAAGATCTAAAGTAGGAGCAGCCGTTAGATATCTTGGGAGGAGGGACCAGGGACCAGGACAAGGGTGGGAATCCAACAGATGAAATGCCCCATCCCTCATGTTAGATATGTCCGCCAATCTAGCCGGCTTCTTGCAGGGACGGTTTTACGTTAGGGAGTGAGCCTTGTGTAATGGCAGCGTCAGGTGACTGCAAAGGTTGAACTGGAAAGAATGAGCCCTACACTCAAAGGCTCTTCACCCTTCTGGTCCTGATCTTTGCGCCCCCAGACGATCACGGAGATACCTCGGTCATTTATCTACACCAAATCCTAAACCCCAAGCCCTAGTGTCTTGGCTTCGTTTAAGACTTGGACCGCAAATTTCACTTTCCAAGCGATCCGTTTGGTACACAGGTGCAGCTTGCCCGGCTTATAGTCCCCTGTTAAGTAGATGGAATATGGCAATATGGGGTAGGATCTTATTATAATCTACCCAAAACCATATTCTATCTACTTACGGGGGACAATAACAGGGAAGAAGCTTGGAGGTCAGGAGCTCAGCCTAAAGTTTTGGATTTAGGGTGGCGCGTCCTACTGTGTGGTACATTGGTCGGAACCTGCCCTACGCCCTGAACGGCAAACCTACCGAAAGCACAGCTGTCGTGAAATCATGCGCGGGTCTCCGAAAGATGTGGCTGACAAAACTCATGCGCAGGAGGGGCAACATGCACCCCGTGATATGTTCAAAAACGTTGAAGGTGCAACCCTAGAGCCACGAATTTGGTTGTTACCTTCCCTGAGCTTTCCGAAGAGTCAGAAACTGCAACTGAGCGTAAAGGTCACATCGTCCTGTCATCTAAATTCGAGAGCCCAAACGAGAATCTTTAAAAACGAAGCCGCAGTGCAGCTCATGGCTACTCTCAAAAGCTTGAGACACCCTGAACGCTAATCCACGTAACGTGCCAGTTTCAGCAGGCTCAAGAGCAGTTGCCAGGGAAGATAGATTTTTCCAAATATACGAATCGAGATCACCAGAAAATGTATGCCAACCCATAGGGTTTAGATGCAGGATTTAGGCTCAGGATTCAGGATTTTCTATTGTGGCTGTCAATCGGCCGCCAGAACCCAAAAACAAACTTAAAGCCGTGCCAGCATCATAAGCACCACAAGCGTATCATATTCATCATCACGTCACAAAGGATGGTAAGAATCGGCGAAGAAGGCACAGGGAACTACCGACTGGATTTGCTAGCGCCATGTTGGGCGTGCACCAAAAGCAGAAACTGCCACGGAATGTGTCACGAAACTTTGAGGACCTTTGTGAGGAGAGTTGCTACAAACAGACAGCGTCGCTTGCGAGGCCCATCTTCACGGGTGAAGGTAAACCCTAAACCCTGAATCATTACAAGCCCTACATCAGTCCGACATCCTTCCTGAACCCTACGTTCTAGCCCTAAGTCCTCAACCCAAACCCTGAGTCCCCTTATCCGAATTCCTTTTGCCCAAATCCCAAATCCTAATTAAGCCCTGAACCCTAAACGCTAAATCATAAACGCTAAACCCTAAATCCTAACCCCTAAATCCTAAACCCTAAACCCTAAATCCTAAACCCTGAATCCCCCCCAGTATCCCAATATCTGCAGGCAAGAATCGCCCGGGCGTGTGCGCGCAAGCACTTGTGGAGCGCGCCCGCCGTCTCAGCCCAGCTTTGTTGAATATAGGGTTTAGGGTTTAGGGTATGGTTTAAGGTTTCGGGGTTTAGGGTTTAGGGTTTTAGGGTATGGTTTAAGGTTTAGGGTTTAGGGTATGGTTAAATTTAAGGTTTAGGGGTTTAGGGTTTAGGGCTTGGGGTTTAGGGTTTAGGGTTTAGGGGCCGAAATGCACAAATATACGGGGGATATACGGGCCTTGGGATGGCTGTAATAAAGAAGCAGAAAATGCTACCAATATAATGGCCATTTGAGGGGTTGCAATGGTATATGCGATTTACCGCTTGGGGTCTAGGCATACTGAAATGGAATGAAAGTTTATATAAGGGCTTATATCAGGATTTATAGGGGTTATATAATTTAGAAGCCTAAATAGTTACAAATGCTATTTTGAGGTCTGCCTGAAGTAGCCTATACCATAATCATACAGGAATCTAGGAGCACGATTTTCCAAATTACTTGATCCCCTACAGTAGGTGTTTGGATCATTTTAGGGGGTTAAGGGGTTGATCGAATTTTCACGTATTCGGCTGGCTTAAGGGATTTTAGGGGCTTGGGGTTTGGGGTTTCATGGCTTCTGACTAGGGGTCAAGTACTTAGGCTGATTCTTGTTGGCTGTCAAGGTTTGCGCTTGCGGTTTTTGAGCTCAAGATGTAGGTTTTAGGGCTTCAGGGCTAGTATAGACTGTTACTGGGTGGGGGCAGTACCCATGGTTTAGGACTCGGGGTGAGTTTAGGATTGATAGCGTTTTAGACTTCGGGTGAATTAGGGCTTGGGATTGATCATTTGAGGATGTTTGGGATCAGAGTCTGGGGTTTAGTGATGATGGGTTAGGTTTTAGGGCCTAAACACTAAACCTAGGTTAGGGTTTAGGGTTTTGGATTGTCGTGTCTGGGACTTTGAAAGGACTCTAAACGTGCACCTAAACAGAAAGCCCCAAGAGTATGGTAGGAATACGATAGGTAGATGAAGACCTTGGAAGGTATATTCCTTTTATATGTCTACTACATTCTTGGGGTTCCCTGTTTTGGGCCCTCACTAAAATCTTTTTAGACTTACTTAGGACAGTGTCAGGGAAAGAGTTCATCAGCTACGGATTGGAACTTGCACACCCTAAGCCCTAAACCCTGAACCTAACAATTTCGGACAGGTCCCCGCTCCTCTAGTAGGATCATGGGACAAGAGAGCTGGATGATAATACAAGAGGTCAGGGTAACTTACTGCTTCTTAGTAGGGAATAAGGAAAAATAATCCCTATACAATCCCTATATAATTTCCATATTCCCTACTAAGAACCAGTGAGGATATGTATACCATACTTAAAACTGTACTTGTAATTCAGTTTTAAGCTGCCTGAGTGCCCTCACATGGCTGTACTTGTTATTGGGTTGTAAGTACATTGATAAGTGGGCCATGGTGGGTGCGTAAGCATCCTAGGCTATCACAAGAGTTCTTCGCAAGGATCTCGAGTTGACACATGGTTTTAAGAGGTGTTACAGACCTGCCATGGTAATTCCTTTCTCCAGGCATCAAGTCAAGAGTTCTTCGCCTGACACCGTACACCTCAAACCCTAAACCGTAA